AAAAAAGATATAGGAACAGTTAACAGGAGGCCTGCCACGGCCATACAGTTTGTAAGCAATATAAGTCTCTGTGTTTGCTTGGTTGGGTCTGAGCGGCTGTGGGACTGGCGGGTGACAGAGATTTGTCCTGACTGTGGGCAAGGCAGGAAAACTCTAGCTACAACTTGTGAATGGGACAAGCATAATTTCTTTTCATAAATTTCTTGATTCCAGGGTATAGCCATATTTTCTATTATCCATCAGATTTTTCTGTGTCTCACTCACCAAAAGGAGGCTCTTGCCTGTGTGGTGACTTGAGCTTTTAATCCAAGCACTAAGGAGGCAGAGACAGGCAGACCTCTGTGAGACCTGCCTGGTCTTCATAGCAAGTTCCAGGCCAGTCAGGAGCACACAGTGATATCCTGTCTCCACAGCTTCCTAGACAAGGGATGGAGAAGAGGATGAGAAAAAGCCATGCCTTCTGAGTTAGGCACAGAGGCCAGCAAGCAGCCCCACAAGGGAGGGATGAGAGAGAGCAAGTAAGCCCGGAATACCAGTGAGTGAAAGAAAGCATTCCCAGCCTCTTTCCAGTATCTGAAGAGAAGAGGTTAAAAACAAGGAAAAGGAGCCAGGCATGGTGGCACCCACCTTTAATCCCAGCACTTAAGAAGAAGAGGCAGGCAGCGCTCTGGGAGTTCAAGGCCAGCCTGGTCTACACATTGAGTGCCAGGAATACAGAGAGACCCTGTCTCAAAAAACAAAACAACAATAAAAATGAAAAGTTAACCGGAGGTCCCTAAACGAAGAAGGAAGCTTCAGGCTGCCCCCCTGCTGCTGGCATCCTCAGGCCAGTGGAACTCTGGGCAGAGCCTGGCAGAAATGAGAGAGCAGGCGGCCCTGTTGCAGTGGGGGGGGTGGGGGGGAGCACGCGTGGAGGCCAGGAGGCCTGTTTACCAGAACCTCTAACCTTGAGTCACCCCGGAGCCAGGTCAGAGGATAACAACAACTTAGGCCAACCACAAGAGAGTATGCAGGAAAGTAACAACTTGGCAGGCAGTCTGACCTCCTCCGAGGGGCTCCTTCCTGTTGGTGAGAGCCTGAGCAGCCGCCTTTGGCCATAGGGACAGTGCTTACTTGCTGGTGAGCAGCCTGTGTTCCTGGCCCGAGAGAACACTGTTCCAGCTCTGACCCTCCTTGGCTTGGGCATGCATGGTTCATAGAGCTGAGCAGGGAATGAGGAAGAGCAGAGTCCTGGGACTTTGGGATGAACAAGCTAACTCAGGAAACCGCTAGCCGCACCACACGACTGGACCAGCAGAGGGCGCCAGCACAGAGCAAATTCACACAAAGTGTGTGCTAAGGATCCGTTTGTACAACTGGGGATGGGGAGGGAGGTGTAGGAGGAGTGACTGGGGGGACGACTGAGGATTGGGGAGATATGGTGCTGCCTTAGCATGGGAATGGAGACAGGACTGCCCCACACTCATCAGACTGAGTACCCCTATACATCATGTCACTTGAGACAATGAGTTATAAACAATGCTTTCAGAGGAACAATCTAATTTACATGGAGAAACACTCTCAGGGAGGGGTGGAGCCCAAGTTGGGGTCCCCAGACTAATCCAGATCCCTGGACCTGACACCTGCATACTAGTCCATGGAAACCCTGCTGAGCAATGTCACCCCAGCCAACTCAAGTCCCCCAAGATCGTCCTCACAGATCATGAGGACTCTACGCTTGGGACTCCCAGGTCTCTCCTGTAGTTGGTTGTTTTGACTCTTATTCTTTTGGCTCTTTGGATCTTTGGGGGCCTGTTGCCTAGGTCCCAAGTAAACCACACAGAGGCTTATTATTACTTATGAATGGCTGGCCTTAGCTTGGCTTGTTTCTTGCCAGCTTTTCTTAACTTTAAATTATCCCATCTATCTTTTGCCTCTGGGCTTTTTTCCTTTTCTTACTTCTTTATAACTTACTTTCACTCTTACTCCATGACTGGCTGTGTGGCTAGGTGGCTGGGTGGCTGTGTGGCTGTGTGGCTGGATGGCTGTGTGGCTGTGTGGCTGTGTGGCTAGGTGGCTGTGGGGCTGTGGGGCTAGGTGGCTGTGTG